CATCCCCAACGTAGCATCAACTTGGTTTGCAAGTGCAAGCGAACGTTGACAGACCCCACCCCATCCCCAACGTAGAATCAACTTGGTTTGCAAGTGCAAGCGAACGTTAACAGACCCCACCCCATCCCCAGCATAGTATCAACTTGGGTAATGGTGAAAACGTGGAAATTCTCCGGGGCCGTTAGGGGGGGCGTGAGCATAAACAAAGACTTCAAAGGTTGTAGTTGGATCCAACACAAAGCAAGAGGCAAGTGCACTTGGACCCCCGACGTAATCTGGCGCTCATTGTCAGGAGGCAGCCCTCCGTAGTCATTGAACTCCATGGGATATTTCTTAGCTCCCAAAAAAGCGCGTATATGCGCGGCATAAAACACACACATCACAGATAATTCAGATGCCAGATTTCATAGTCCAGACCCAGCACAAGACTTGGTGCTCAGATTCCTTGAGAATCCTGAGGGCCAGTCTGTGCGGAAGGGCCAGCCACGCCAGGGTTCGTATTCTGCCACGCGCAAGGCGCGCGCGTGAGGAGCAGCAACTGTGGTGCATTTTGTGACATAACTCCAGGACTTATTGCATTAAGCGTATAAATAATCTGATAGACTCTCCAGCGGGACTACATACCGAGATCAGGGACTCAACACTCCAGCAAAACTCTGGTCTGAAGTGACCAGTGCTTCTGGAGTGGGTAAGTTGAACCCGGAAATTGATGTCCCAGTGGATCATCGGCACACCTAATCTCCTCAAACCCGCCGGCGAGACTCATTGCGTTGCCCAGGACATCTTTGGCCGATGGGAAAATGTCAAGCCTCAGATGTGCATTTTAGGCGATCACTGCAGACCAATGCCACCGAAGCATCTCACAACCGGAATCGGTGAACACGTTGCCATTTCTGTCGTTCCAACTTCTGCCTTGCTCAAACTCGGGGGGCCAGGGCATTCCAAGCTGCACTGGCGGATGCAAACCGTCGTCTTCTGGATGAGCGTTCTCAAAGCCGCAGTCCGTGAACATCTAGGCGTGGCGTGGTGATGGCCCAAAACCCACGACTCTGGCACATTCAACGTGGGAATGGAACATCCTTATTGAAGGAGGAAAGGTCAAAAAAACACTGGGTGAGCCAGGAATAACTCTTTTCCATATGTGCATAGTGTGTAAAGAGTACATAGACATATTCAGTTCAAAGGCAGGCAATGAAACTCATGGATCGCAGGGGAGTGCCCTCTAAGTGTCCATCCGTCTTTTGCCAGAACACCGGCAGCAGGGGAGGAAGCCCACACCATTTCTCGCAAGCAACAACATCATCCCCCTCAGCACATTCAGCATCATCTGTCGCTAAGAAACAAAGGAAGGTCTAGAGGTCCGAGAAGGAGAAGCAATACGATACGACAATAACACAATAATAGAAAAAAGGCTGCTACTCCGCTGAGGCCAGCTCCCACTTGTTCAGCCCTTGGGATACAAAGCACGTGGGAAAGCGCTGTTAAACATGTTGTTTTGCTCTTTCTTTTTTGTCGTTCATTTGTTTCGTTTGCCCTTTGAACGCCCTTACATGTTCTTTACCACATCCAGAAATTGGTTTCAGTCCAAGGTTCAATTACTGGTTAGGGCCCTGGCGACAGTCGTACCATGCACCACCACCAGCACAAATGGCTTTCTCAGTCGCAGGTGGCTAAAGCATGCAATGCCAAGTCTTGAACTTCTGCAGTTGCACTCCCAGTCTTTGCGATCTTTGTGAAACGCCCGAGGCCCACACGTCTGGGTCGTACGGAAGAAAACCTAGGAATAGGAATAGGAATATCAATTGATATCGCGTGATCTGTGTGATATCAACGAACGGTGGCCGAGCAATGCCCAGTAGTCAGTAGTCATCACTCGACTTGCAAGTCTTGCCTAGCCCGATTACAACATAGCTTTAGGATGCTTTAGGACAATCCTGGCACATTGACTCTTGTGCTCAGTTTTCAACCCCCCGAGTCCTTCGAATCACTCGTTCCAGGCCCGAGAAACCTGTGCGCAAGGGCTGTGCGCCATGGCCATCGGCCCAGTGCGACGCCCGGAACATCGGCCCGTACGCAGGTCGTTCTGTACGCTTAAGGCTAGGGTTCTTGCAGTGAGTGATAGAGGAGGACAGGCCTGTCCACAAAACGAAGAACATCGGCCCATACACAAAACGGGAGAGGACAGCCTTGGGACTGAAAGCTTATGCAGACTTTGAACACCTGTTTGAAAATAGGCAGCCTGTGGCATTGACAAGCCTACTTAGGCTGCTGGATGCTTCTCGTTGTCAAAGCCTAACTTACAAGTAGTTAAAAGCAAGCAGTTCATGTTATGAGTAATTAGTCTAAGCCCGCATAGCTCTGCGAGAGGGAGGTATGCAAGAATCTTTTGCATCCATGCTCTCTTACAATATGGTACTCTGAAGCCTGAAAGTCCAAAAATGCAGCGACAGGACGCGTTTCGCGTAGACGTGTTTCAGGATCTTCAGGGCCTTTATGGGCCATTGCTTCTAGGTTGGGGGCCATTGCTATTAGGCTGGAGGCCATGGCTATTAGGTTGGAGGCCATTGCTAGGTTCGAGGCCATTGCTATTAAAGTTCGAGATTCGATTGCAAATAAATGTGCGCATTACGGCTGGCTATTTTCACAGATCTGCCACGCGGGACCATTCTTCCTGAGATCTGTGTGGGTTCGGCCTGTGCTCGGGGACAAGTCCCAGAGGGGCTCGTGAAAGCGCTGGGAAGCGGGAATCGGAGTTGCTCCGGAAGCAAGATTTGGGTATGGCTCAAACAAATCGCCCACGGTCAGGCGAACATGGCGAACCAAACACCAATAATTTTGGCTGAAGGGCGCTATTTTTGAGCCATACCTGTTCCATTCCATCCGAAAGTCTCAAGCAAATGTTGAAGATCTTGCCTTTCACAATGCGTCATGCCAAAACGAGCGTTTCGCCCGTGGGCATTTGCATTCAGTCCGTCTGCAGGAGATATCTTGGAAGACCATGAGACTCAGTGAGACTCGATGAGACCAGGGAAGGGTGGAAAAAAATTGCACAAATTGGGCCAAGTCGAGCGCTAAAATATGGCTGGCCAGCTGTCAGTGCATGTCTCAGCGTCAGCGTCATTCAAGGTTCACCCCACCTTGCCTGGCACAGCTGATTCAGCGGCGAGGTTGAATCGAAAGAAAGGCGAGAACTAGATCACTTCGAAAATATGATAGCAATGCAGTCAGCATCAATGGTTTCATCATGTTTCATCAAGTTGTTCCAAGTTTGATGTGCTCATGCTAAGATAGAAGTCAGCCCAGTCAGCCCAATCAGCCCAGTCAGCCTCAACTGCTTCTCTCGGTAGCCCATGGCCACCCCCAACCTTGGCGAATAACACCCTCAAGCAAAAGAATCAATCATCCAGAACATCCTGACCACAGAATCTTTCTGCTGAGTTGGTCTACCTTGTTATTTGGAGCTGTTGTTTGAATGACCTGCTGACCTGTTTGTTTGTGACGCACTGACAGACTGAGGAGTCGAACCGGGCACTTTGCGCTGTATCCAAGAAGTCTGCAGTGTCAGAGACCTTGTAAAGGCTCTCTTTCTTGGAGCACGAAGCGGTTGTTTGTGTCTGACCATGTTGATTTCACAACATGAGGCTCATTCAAAAGAGAAGTAATTGGTGCCGAACACATTTTTGCATCTTGGCATACGAAAAGACTGAAAGGCGCAATCTCTTAAGCTGCCATAGAAATTGTTACTCATATTATATAGTTACTCATATCTGTCATATCCTGTAAAATGAATGTCGAGGTCCCTCTTCTCATTGATCCCGAATTCCAACCTCTCTCATCATGGCATGCATCTGCTTGGAGAACGATTGATGGTCCATACAGTATTGCCTGGCAAGTTGTGTGCAATGTGCAAAAACACTGAAGAAACTGCGGAGTTGGCTCTCCTTTAGCCTTTGAACTGATTGGTGTCAGCAGGCAACAAGTCCACAAGGTTACCTTAGATTAGGCCTCCCACTACTGTTCTCTTGATGAGTGCTTGGTGGGTTGCAAATTGTCATTCTAATACTCTTACAACTCACTGGATCAAGCCCAAAACGGTTTGGACAAGGAGGTCATGACAAACCGTTCAGATTGTCTGCTTCCACTGCCCACATTGTCTTCCTCATACCCAACCAAATGCCTGCACAAACGCTCCAGGGATGTCCAAAACGTCGTATATTCACCCAGTCGCTGCTCAAACCGTTCCTGCAAAATGGGGGAATCAAGCTGCTTCAAGAGATACTGTAGCATTCCAATGGCTGCGGCATACTGAGGTCAAACGGGTGACATTCTCCAAACGAAACCGCAAAAGATCTGGGATGCTACTGTCCAAATGGCAGGACCGAGATAATTATAGTTTTCCGTCTTGAAGAACTGGCGCAACGTTGGAGTCGACGTCACGGGCAATAATCTAATAATACATATATCATATATACTATGCTGGAATTGGTCAACAAAAAGTTAAGTTAACAAAGCTTGCCAAACTCTGCATTCAAACAGCAAACACGTGTAATTGCTGCCCGTCTCACTCATGCAAAGCATCTATTTCAGGTCCCCAATACCAGTCCTTCAATGGCTTGCTACTGTTGGCAAAGTTGACCAAGCATTCCGTGTGCTCCTCGAACAGGGGGAGACAAGTGCTTCCGACTGATCGAAGCGATGGAAGCGTCGCTCGAAGCTATGGCACGGGGTCGCTGGTCCTTCATCTGCGCAAGCTTTTGAACGGTGCCATCCATATTGGACCAAAAGGCTGAGCACCCCTGATTGAGTGAGACAGGCGAGCTGCAATACTGCAATGTGTTGTCACATTGTTGAAACCTTTGCTCACAAAGTGATAACTGTAGCGATGCCTAGTCCTACACTCAAACCAGCTGCACGCTTCAGAGTCAGCAAAGAAAACAAGCACCATCAAGCACCAGTTGGTCCTTCATCATCCTTCCACCCCAACCGCCCGGAATCAATGCTGCCTGTAGAATCTCATCCACTCGTTTGAGTTCACGCAAGGCCCGGAGAAGTGAGCCTGAGGTCTGATTCACAAAGGCCTTAGACATCGTCCGCCCGTGTCTGGCGGTGATGACTCGGAGCTCTTGAAGAGAAAAACGTGACGATCTCAACTCGGACCAAAACAAAACTGAATTACAATTTATATAGTTGTTACTTAAATATAAAACACCCCCTATCCCCTTCATTCGTCGATTTAGTCTAGAGTCTTATATGGGTCAATTCTTATTATTCCACCTTTTTCAGGCAGCCGAACACGATCCGCCGATGGACCCCTTGACCCGCCGGACCCGCGCGCCGGGGCTCGCACGTCTTCGTTCATGGTCGTATTGGGATGGTACTGCACAATCGCATCTTCAGCTTCAGCCTCGACCTCTTCCATGGCCACGTCCTGAAGGTCAGGCCGTTGCAGTGCACCGAAGGGGCGATCTTTTTTTCGACGTCGCACAGGTCGTCAGACTGGTATCTGAGGGATACAAGATCAAAAATCCCCCGCGGGTGAGGATGAACTGGAGTGGACTGGTGAACTATGGTTTGGCATCCCCAACTAGAACAGCGGCAACCGTAATGTTGACATATTGATACATACTGTTACTATGTTGACAACCCCTCAGGTTTTGCGAAAAACCGTTTTTGAGCTTTGCAAAAATTAAACATGCCCTGCCAGGATGTCCAACACGGCAAAATTGGAAAAAAAAACATCCCAGAGTGCTCCTGTTTCAGTATGTTTCAGTAGTGGGCATATTCAAACCATCTCCATTGCCTTAAGTTCCTTCGCTTCCCTCCTCGCTTAAGGAAAACAAAAAAGGGATGGTGTTTCAATGAAATCCGCCGACCCTCTGCCACGTGCAGGGGCAAGGCCTGTCTTGTGGAAGGTTGCTTGTTAAGATTGCTTGTGTGACTTTTCATCTTGTGTTTAGAACGTTCCTTAGCGCGGATTTGTCGTTTCCCTGACTTCACCCCCCACCCCAACCTCTATCTGGTCTCACCTCTATATGTACGTACATGACTGACACATTTCATGGCTCAAGACTGGGAAAGCCGCTTGCTTCACGCTCGACGTTGCACTTGATATGTCCGTTGCACCTCTCTCGAGACTGTGTTCTTTCCAACGGAAATCCACTGCATTGCACTTGTGAGTGTGAGTGTGAGTGAGAGTGAGAGTGAGAGTGAGTGAGAGACGGAGAGAGCGAGAGTGAGAGAGTGAGAGTGAGCATCTGACAGCACGCCTCAGAAAGCACAGACTGCTGCGCCTGCCACGACGAAAGGCACGAAATCTGCACTTCGAGAGGTTCACAAAGTGTTGCGCCTGCCACGAAATCAGCACTTTGAGGCTCACACGAAATCTGCGCTTCAAGATTTACATGCGGCAGCCCTGACAAGGCGTTTTGCCGCAAGAACCTTTCCAAAGACAACACACAAATACCAAAGCGATCCAAAACGCAGCTTTCGCGCGAGATTCCCCCCGATTTCTGAAAACGAGCCACATGCAGAAAAGTCACAGTTCACTGCACCTGTTCACTGCGCCCAGCCCACCAGATTCTGCGAGCCTGCGCAGTCGAAATGCACTTCGAAGATTTCGAGAGGCATGAATGTACTGTAAATAGCAGCGAATTAGCCGGACATGGATGCGCGACACCTCGATTAGACACCGGCCCTTAACTCTTACCGTAAGAACCCCTAGTGTGACTACACTGCTTGGTGAAAAAACATGAAAAAACCACAGCCTTTCTGGTTTGAACGTCTTCCCCTCGTCTCTCGCGACGACCCGCCCTTCGGACCCTTCGGACTTTTTGAACATCCCTTGGAGCGGCCCGGTTGGACCGGCGGAACGGGTCGTTCGCAAAGGGAAAGCCAGTGCAGCAGTAAAGTGAATTAAACCAAAGCCACTGCCGGTCCATGGTCACGAGGCGCGCTTGTCTTGGAGCTGGAAACCGTCTGCCGGGAACATGTTTGCCTTCTTGCATACCAATGCGTTTAAAACCTTATCAAAGGCAATCTGAGTGCTTCCCTCAATCCAAGCTACAAAAGGTCAATGCAGTATTGCATTTATATGGTTTGGCATGAAGGAACTATACAACTCTATCTCGTTAAGTAAGCCGTCACTAGCAGCTAGCAGGAGCGACTTCTCTTCAAGTCGTTCTTTCAAACTCCCTGAAGCACATGATTTGTCAAAGGTTCCTCACTCCGGCCGGCAGCGGATTCCGCAAAGCTCAACCTGATTGGAACCTTCTCTCGGGCGTCGGCCTCGATCTAGGCAGTGCGAGAGGTTTGTTACAACTTCAGCGAAGAGGGGCGCTTAGAATGCCATCCATCCAACTGCATTCAACCACCCTTACCATGGCAGAATGGCTTTACATCCGCGCCGCACAGGAGTGCTTTTTCATCAACAGCCAACAGTATGCCCTCAGAGCTGTTTGGGCCAACGTGAGGGAGGTGGCCTCTCAAGTCGAATTGCGCCATTCTGAGTGAATGAGTGAGTGAGAAACACCAAGCACGAGCGCAACGCATCCAACCTTCAGACCAGCCAATGAAAAGCTCGCCGTTGGGCCGCGATCGGCCCTGCGATTCTGCGATCCGCTCTGCCATCCGTTCAAACGCAAGTGTGGCATGTGGCACGCGACGCCTTCAGCCGCCGAGTCGGACCCAGCGCGGGTTCGCAGGTCAAGGAGCAGCCCGGGTCGGTTTTGGTGACCAAGCGACACTTGTGCGCAACCAGCGTCAGAGTTGGTGAGAAATCCTTTGACCTGCGAAGGTTTGGAGCTTGGGGTGCTTTACGAAACCGAGGTAGTTGAAGTTAGTTTCTCACTTTGTCACTTCAGCTGCTTGTGGTGCCCGTTGCACCTATGGAAACAGCCTCCGTCTTGACTCATGACTGCAGTGACAAGTTCATCGCCTGGAGGCTGAAGTCTGACTTGTCTGACTTGCAAAAGAGCGGCTACGAACTATCTCAGATCAAGCAGGATCATGGGTGATCGTGGCCTGCGCAGAAAAGGTAGGCTCCATTTTCAAGCAATGTAGCGCATATCTTTCTGTTTCTTTCGTTCAGAATGTGAGTGTATTTGCTTGCTTCCCCTGCAGGAGTCGGTGAACCTTTGGCGTGGTTGAGGATGTTGTCTTCTGCAAACAACCCCAACACGTGTGACTTGAGACCGTGTCAAAAGAAAGCATGTGCGAATGAAATGGAATGAATGTCTGTCTGCTTCCGGCAAACAAACCGGACACAAAACTGTGGCATCTTCACTTCTTCATTTTGCTCGAACTTCATCTGACCTGAGAACTCAGGGGATGAGGCCAAACGACCTAATAAATGCCCAAAGGCAAGCGGTCAAAGGTCAAGGATGTCACCTTTTTTCTTGGATGGACATGTTGCTTGGTGGTTGCTGTATTCAGCCAATATTGAACACACCTGTACAGGTTAGATTCGGCGAGACTGATGCAGGGTCGGCAAACATGACAAAATTATGCTGACCTGAAACGTACAACTTCATGAATATAAGTGGCAAGCACAGGTTCACACCTGGTTTGAACATCCTGCTTGGGTGAGTTCAGGGCCTTTGCAGGCTTTGATTGTATAGTCTGTATAGTCTATAGTTCATGGACCTTCTTTTGGACATGACCTAAGTCGCTACGTCCCAAGTCCAAAGGGTCCGTTTAAACTTAGGGATGGAGTCTGTCTCATTCAATCAGGACCAGACTATATAGACTCAAACCAAGGATGGGGCCGAGCTTGGGGCAGAACTGTGCAAAAGGAATGTGAAGGAACATCAATCAGCTTTGGTCAAGGCAACATCCGCAAGTTGGGGTAGGCATTGCACATGTCAGATTAGGCTGGCTTGATTGAGTCGGCCACAGCTGAAGGGCGTCCACTTATGCACATGTTTCTCATTCAATGCAAGGGCCTACGTGACCTTCGTCTGACCGTTACCAAGAAAGCCCCATCTTCGCTTTGGGGCCATCAAGCTAAACATGTCTATGGCAAGCAAAAGAAGCTTGGATGGGAAACTGCCCCAGGTTTGCAATATGTAGAATATATTAAATGCTGCTTGGATCAAATTTGCATCAGCGCAACATACGTCAGTGGTAGTGGGACGAGTCAGCGAACCAAACAGCTTTAACCAAAGATGCATCCAGGAAAATCGGCAGTTAGCATGTTCTTTCATTTCGCGCAGCAACAGTAGACTTGTATATAGCCAGTCTTTTGCTTGCTCAGTCGCAGTCACATTGTCAAATTCACTGGCTACTATGGGCCTCCCTTCATGAATGACCCCAAACAGGAAAGGCTTGCAAGGCGCCTGGTGGATGCCCACAACATACTTTTGCAGGATTGACAGCTCTGACAATGTGGCCGTGTTTTCAGATTGCGCACTCCCCTGCAACAGTGGAAAGCTAAGCAAGAATACTTTCGAGGAGTGCTCTTATCAACCATCGGCCATTGAGTCCATGGAAATCGATCATCCTTGACTCGGGCGCCTAGCAGCTTGGCCGCGCTTGAAGATGAGTTCCAATGAGCAGTACGTGTGATGGACTTGATGTGAACCCTCACCTTCAACGGATGTTGCTCAGGGCCTAGGCATCGAACACCAGGGCCTAGGCATGTGCAGCCATCTCTGTTGGTTGCATTGACTCAATTTGTGGTCGTTTGCATGAGGCTGTGCCTGTTGCTCGGTACTGACTGACACAAAGTCACCTGGCGTGTCAGTGCGCCGTGCGATGTCGGAGTCAGGATTTTGTGACTCCACGAAAGCAACGCCGGTTTATTTGGGGATTTTACTCAGTGAGCGCGACGCTGTTCAGTGAGCGCGACGCTGCAGTTCAGAGAGCCATGAAATGAAATATAGGCGCCTAGGAGCGTGGCAGCAAATGAAACGTGTTCGATCGAACTTATGGTAACCGCGTTTTCAGAAATAAAATGTCTCCCAACTCTAAGGCATCTGGGATGGGGGAGGTTTGTCGTGAATAGCTTGAACATCTGAAGCTACTACAGTAGGTTGGAGGCTACTAGCAACAAGAAGCTTCTAGTATGGCTAAAAGCTACGAGTTACATACTCGAGGTACGAAACTATATGGAGCCTTCAGACCTGACGGACTAATTCAAGGCATGTCTTTCACTGTGGAGTGAGGTTTGTTGACCATCGGACCATATAATATCATATAATATAGCCCATGGCCGCTCCATCCTTCCCTCGCCTTCGTTCTTGACACAGATCCTCAGGCCCCGGTGAATTGGAAATATACGACATGGACTGTAAAACGACGATATATACATTGGCGTTGCTCGAGCCGCAGGCTGTTGTTCGGAGGAGTCAGATTCAGAGGGATCTCGCCAATCTTGCTATGGGATAGGGTCAGCTTTGGTCCAGCCAGGCACTGGAAACGCATCTATTCAATCTACAACTCGGCAAAATGGCCGTCATCATCTTGCACCTCAAATGGTAGACCAATGATGACCAATGTGAGACAATCACTGGTCCAAACTGCTGTCGTCAGCATTCCTCTCCCAAGTTCTTTTTGGCGTTTGGGCCAAACACTCCAGGAGCGAAGTAGCCAAGGATACGAGCAAGTGGCACAAGGGTCATGTGATGGTCAAAGAGTTCAAAAGCAAAGCTCTAAAGTATTCCAAACTCATACCACCTAATCTAGCCTTGCAACCGATCGACTTGTCTTGATGCCTGCCGACAAGCTTGAACGAAGAACCGCACTCAGTAAAGTCTTGGCAACAAGTGATGCCCATACATTTGGCCCATGCATGCTCTGGAAGTACTGTCTAAATTATATCTTCGTACATGGTGCGTGTAAAGAAGCCATACAAGGCCCATTCCATATAATAGCTGGCTCAGTGGCCGCAAATTCAGCAGCGAACTCGCTCAAACCTCCAGCGCGGGCGATTCGAACTGTGGCGCACGGGCTGGGTCTTGGCAGCTTTCGCCGAGACCGCCGGCATGCCCGGCGGCTGCTTCCGGTTGCACAGAGTCGTCGACCAAGGCTCACCTGTCGCCATCCGGGATGCTGAAATGCCGCTGAATGCCATGCGTTGTGCAGTGCACTGGTTCTTCTCTTCTGCCTTTGGATGTTTGGATCAACTTCCTTTCGCCGTGCGCAGCTTCCAACCTGGGCCTTCCTGCCTGCAAGACATGTTGCCCTGGCTCGAGTCATGCACATCGGACCTCGGATGTGTGCATCAACCCAGGCGGCCCGCGAAAATAAGATCCGTGTCATTATCATCAAATGCCACATCCAGAAGTGCTCGGACCTCGGATGGCCCGAACGAAGTGTTTTTTGGACACGCAAACATCACATGGAGGCGCTGCCGACCAAAAAGCATTGCCTCTATGGAAACCGACGTAGCACGAAACATCACGAAACACTTCAGAGTAGGAACTGCCAGGACACCCGAAAAGACCTCTCCAGTCTTCGCACCGGTGCCTGTCAAAGGCGTGGACCAGCATGCCACTGCGGCTGATGCCTGTGAGGCTTGTGGGACCGACCTGTTTGACTCTAAGAAGGCTTGCTGCAGCGCTGCTCAATCGTGCTGCCAACGCTCTCGCCATCTGATTCCTCCGATCTTCTCGTTGCCTGCATTAAAACTTCACAGTCCACCAACCTTTGATCGCTTAGACCTAAATGATTCATCCTTTGGAAGAGGTGAACAAACACCTGAAAGACCTTGCCCAAGTCTATTGTCAAGTGCTAAACCACATTGAACCCTGGAAGCCCACATAAGACAAGTAACCAAGTCATCATTGCCACATTCATGATTGGCAGTTGCATCCCTGAGAAATGATTTGAAACATGCTTAGCTAACTGGTCCACGCACAGCTGGCGCCAAGCAGCTGAGTGTCAAAAGCGCTTGCAAAAAAGGAATCTCCGCGTTTCTGAAAATTTTGATATGGTGGTTGTCCAATATTCTTGTTTATTGAAACGGCCATTCTTCGCGAAAAAAACATTAACATTCGCGAAACTTTCGCGAACCCTGTGTTTTTCTTTCGCGGGGGTTCACCATGTCATGAAACCATTTAACCTGGTAGGGACTCGATTTCTAAATACAGTTTGTGGGGTTGCTATGGGCTACGGGGTTCCTCTGGAGCCGATTCATTCGCCGAAACCTTCGCCAGACTTTCGCGAAACTTTCGCGAAATAATCCCTGTGCTTTGGAGGTTTTTACGGCATACATAACATAGGGTGGACTACATGAAACAGGAAGGAAGCTTCACACGGATTCCAAAGTTGAAGCTGCTGACGGTCAGAAAAGAATGTGGTTATGCATGGGGCAAGCCTGAAGGCTCGCCAAAGAACATACAATAAAAATTCATACTTTCGCGAATCTTTCGCGAAAAAAACATTAACATTCGCGAACTCGAAAAAAAACTTTCGCGAGACCCACGATCATGTCATCCAAGGCTCTCAACATTAAAAACCCTTACAAGGACCTTTTGGATAACTCCCATATGTCACATCTCATGGCCTCCACGAAAGCTTCCGCAGCGCTTATGCGACTGCAGCTTTAGCTTACCCGGAGGGGTTGCTCACGCCACTGCTATTATGCAACCATACGCCATGCACCTCAGGATAGGCTGTAGAAAACTTCGAAGATCAGCAGGCAAGAGATTGACAAGCAACTGCGTTCCTCTACGCGATAAAAAGCTCTTCGCACAGCCCTTGAGAAGGCGCAGTCTGAACATCACTACGCAGAATCTTGCGCAGCCCCTACGCGACCACGGTGTTTGCTTAATTAAGGCTTAATTATGCGCAGGATCGAGCGAGAGGGCTTTCGCACAAGGAAGAGTGGACTGACCTGCACTTGTGTGACGCTGAGCCTTACCATCAAGTTCTCAAACGAAACAAAGCCTTTGACATGCCTCGACAAAATTTCGATCTCCATCAACAACCAAACATGCAATTCCTGCAGCACTGAGCATCTTACCATGGAACGTCGAGGAACAATACAGTTCATGAGGGTCTGAAAAGTGCAGGACAGCAATTCAAGGGCCCCTTAATGAAAATTCCACCCCCTCACCCTCTGATTCAATTATAGGAATCCTAGGCGCAAAGGTTTTTCTGAATCACCGACAACCTAGCCAAGAGGTTGCCAGACCTGCAATTGGATCACTGGACTTCCAAACAAAGGCTGAGACATTATTCGACAACATTTCGATCTCCATCAAAAACCTGACGGAATCTTTCGCACCACTAGTTCTTATCAGAGCTTTTGCGGGCTCGATACGTTCTTATCCTGTATGCTGCTACGTTCCGTCTTCCTTCGACTTCGATCTCACACAAATTCTGCACCAACTCACACAAATGCGTTTTGGTTTTCGCGAAAGCATGCTGAAGAGACGTTGAAGCCTTGTATGGCATCGGCTTGGGTCTTTTCTTGTCAATGTCAAGATTGTTGATGCGTGTGACCGTCAACCACATGCGCGACACGGCAGCATGGTGTTGCATGACAGCAGCCCACCACGTTGGAGCACAAAACGGTTCAAACTGCCTGTGGGACAAACGTATAGTCCATAGCCATGAACGAGCAACGCCCGGCATATGCTGGCATCAGCAAAGCTCTTTCAGCCCATGAGTTAGGTCCTTGTGGCCAAATCTATCATCTCCTGTGGTCTCCGCCAAAAGTAGGCTTTCGGCAAATGAGATAGTCCAACGGATTGCGGGGTGTGTGTTCGAATACTCCCAACTCACCTGGGACTAGTATAATTTCCTCAATTGATGTTCTCTGGTTCCTCACCCCACTGTTGCACTGGACTCTTGCGCAGTTCTGACAAAAGTGCACTGGGAATATTCATGACACTAGCAAGTCCTGCAGTATAACAACATGATAAGCGCGAGCCTCCAACCAGTACGTGGCATCTAAGAATCAGGTATAATATTAAGGACATTTCTGACAAAGGATGCAGGTTGGCGAGCCGCCACCTGCTGCTTCTGCTGCCTGCCTGTATGCTGCTACCTTCTGTCTTCCTTCGACTTCGATCTCACACAAATTCTGCACCAACTCACACAAATGCGTTTTGGTTTTCGCGAAAGCATGTTGAAGAGACGTTGAAGCCTTGTATGGCATCGGCTTGGGTCTTTTCCTGTCAATGTCAAGATTGTTGATGTGTGTGACTGTCAACCACATGCGCGACACGGCAGCATGGTGTTGCATGACAGCAGCCCACCACGTTGGAGCACAAAACGGTTCAAACTGCCTGTGGCACAAACACAAAGCATCCAAAGAAACCCACTTTATACTACCCGGAAGTGAGTTAGGACTTTACGGCAGCTCCAAAAAAACAGGATGGACAGATAAGATAGGTAGCGAAATAGGGTACAAAAAGAGTGGGCAGATGAGATCCTGCTGGCACA